CCATTGGGCTCGGTATTCGATAATTCTCAATTGAAAAACATAATTGTGTCCTAAAGCCTTATATATATTCTGATGGAGAAAAACATTCTGCGTCGAATGAACCTATTTCCAACGTGTTTTAGACGGATAATAATGGTCTTATAGGCCAAAAATTGATGTTTATGCCTATCTTGAATGGTCTAGATTTTTCTTATTACTCGATGAATTTTGAAAAATAATATGATATTCTTAATCAGAACACTGAGTTCTATCGATTTATAAATGTGAAAACTCAAACGAAAACAAAAAAATTTTTCGAATACCTGAGGGGTACCCCAGGCACAAAAAATTGACCTATCATGAAAAATGAAATAAAGTTATGGAAACCGATCAGAGTTTATCAGGCTATTAAAATAGAAATTAGTTTTTGTTTTATGTACACTCATACACCAATTTTGATGGAGCTGTTGTTATTAGGGACAAAAAATAGCTGAGTGTTGTTATTAGGGATATTGACTGTAGGTCTTCAAGCCCTATATTAGAGAGTACCGTTAAGTCCTCAAGCCCTATATTATTAGGGTATCCTTAGGTCCTCAAGTCCTACATTAGAGAGTATCCTTAGGTCCTCCAGTCCTATATTATGAGGGTACCCTTAGGCCCTCACGTTGAGGACCTAAGGGTACCCTCATAATATAGGACTTGAGGACCTAAGGGTACCCTAATAATATAGGACTTGAGGACTTAAGGTACCCTCGGAATATAGGACTTGAGGACCTAAGGGTACCCCTATTATATAGGACTTGAGGAATTAAAGGTACCCTCCTAATATGATTATCCAAGACTATGTCAACATATCTGCTTTAACTTTAATTGGTTAAGTTAAAGTTAAAGTTTAAAGTGCGTTACTTTAACTTTAAACTTTTAAAGTTTAAAGTATCACTTTAAACTTTAAAGTTTTAAGTTTAAAGTACCACTTTAACTTTAGTTTTTAAAGTTAAGTGAAAGTAACACCCCTAGTTTCGACCATAAATGTGACTTTCGTGCTTTAAGAAAAATTAAATGAATTTTTCAGTTTTTAGCTCTTATCTCAAAAGAAACGTAATTGAGTACCTATTGAAATTTAAGCAATGCAAGTCTTCTATGGTATTATTTTAAATAGAATAAAAGATCCTTGTTCGCTAATATTTACTTGAAAATCAATAATTTAATTCATTTCAAACGAAAGCTGTTCTTCAATTTTCATGAAGCACGACATTCAGACAACTAGTTGAAAATTGTATTAAATTGTCATCTCGCAACAATACATTATAATGATATTGCATCTCATCCGTATGCATCGTACTTTTGATGATTACTCAATTGTTATCGGAGAAGTTCATATTTATCGTCGTTTAGAGTTTCTGTTAGACTATCTTCAGATAAGCTTGACGATAAAAGCCAAAATACAAGGTTGCTCCCAAAAAATGTTTTGGAACTCAAAGATTTCCTCTAATTCATTTTCTTTTTAAGCTTTTTGCATTTTATCTTGTTTTTGACATGTAGTCATGATGAATCTATTGAATATTATTTCTATGAAATACAACAACAATCGTTGACTCTTCACATACAAATTTTTTTTATTAGATAACTCCTCGTAATAGAAAACTCTTCCAGAAAAATTCTAAACTAGACCCATTAAAAATAGCGGGCAGTTTTGTTCATTGAAAAGGAGATTTACGCAAGTAGAGAATCTTTCTTATCAAATGTTTGATTTATGTTATTCAAATGAAACGCTATAACGAAAATATCGAAATTCGATATGTATACGTCTTTATATATAAATATGAAAAATAAAAAAAACAGATGAATGCTTTTTGTTTTGATTTGAGCGAATAATATTCAGACCAACTTATTTTTGCATATGCGGTAGAAGAGAATAGATCAAGAATTACTGTTAGGACCTATAGGTCGCCAGTTTTGTGCAAATAAAAACAAAAACAAAGAATAGATCAAGAATTGTGAGTACACTCATTTACCACCAGTTGTGCTTCTCTGAATCAATGCCGAACCTATATCTACATTGGTGGATAATGAAACAATTAAAATGACTCTGATGACCATGTTGAGATTTTTTTACATATAATATATATCATGCATAGGGTAATTCAAAGTCATTGACTTCTCCTACCACACTCTATCAAGCTGAATAAAATCTATCAAGCTATGTTTGTTGCATATGAATGGGTGTTATTATCACTCTCATCTTCAGCAACCTCCGCATTCATATCACACACTCACACCCACACACTATTTTCTACTGCGTACTAACACATCAGATGGTCGAATTCGACAAAATATTGCCCTCTAAAAAACCGCACAAAATCCACAAGATTACCGGTTTTTCAGAAAATGGTATGCTTCTCATCAATTCACTTGCTAGCCAAAGTTGAATAATTAGATAGTGTTATTTACATCTCCAGCTTTCGATTGCGGTATATTTTCGACACATAATTTTCTGTCAATCACTTTCTTACGATAATTAACGTAGTCTATGCATCAAAGAACATTGTGTGTGGACGAAAAATACGACTAGTCTAATGACTCTTCTCACAATAGATTTATCACTTAGGACGATTCGTTTGGGCTAAAACCTTCGAGAATGAGTGGTCTTGATTAAGAACGCTTGTGGTTAACATTTCAGCCGGATATATCTAACTAGACAAAACTTCCAGCTTATTTATGGCCCATTTATAGTCTTCAAGAGGATTCTTATGACTTCTTTAATACAAGTGATAGAGAGGTCGGAGTGGTTGCAAATTACAATCAATATTAGTGTGCAGTTCTCCATTGGACAGAATTTTGAAATTCCCTTCCATTCATTTTGTAAGATCATTTTAGTACATATAATATTAAACTAAGCAAAAAAAATAACCTCACGACACTATATCTACTTTTTCTCAACATGCAAATCAACCGTCAAAAATTTGATCGGACAAAATTTCACTCTCATTTAGACCTTTCAAACAAAAACAATATTGGCGATGTGCTAAATTGAATGGAAGAAATTTCAATTTTAGTTATGAAAAATCATATTCTGAGAAATAGCATAAAAAAGTTTAGAAATCAATTATTTTCATTCAAATCCAGGAAAAAACACATTCAAAAGCCATATTCTACATGTCAGTGGAATTTTTTAAAGCACGTAACAAATGATTTAAACTACCACTCTCAGTCATGTTTAAATAAATATAATGATTTATTCGATATTGATATAAATGAAAGGCAGCATCCTCAAAACTAGAAAACTATTTCAAAAATTTCAAAAATTTCTCAAAAAGACAATGCGATGGCAGCGTCGAAGTTTGCTTCGAAAATCTGTTAACATTTGACCGTTTTTCGAAAAGCTATATATATATTCTGAAAGAGGAAGCTTCGCTGTATCTTCCTAAGATAAAAACTCAACTTCGAGTGTTTCTTTGGAAAATATGAATTTTCTGAAAGAGTCTTACGCAATTATTATAGCTTATCATATTAATCGTACTTGAAATTCACATACTTTTTCTATCGTGAAACTTTTTTTGATAATTTTTGGCATTTAAACCAAGCATATACTTAGGGATATCCAAAAGTAGTGGCGCCATTACCAAATTTCTTTATAGAAAGGTTCAAAAACATTCTTTCTTTATGAAAAGATAGAGCGTCTTTCGCTCTATTTTTCTATGCTATTTGATCACTATTCAAGTGATATCATAATAATAAAATTTCGGTAAAAACTGTTTTTTGTTGAAAACTAGCTGGTGGTATTCGATCATAATGGGTGAAACATTTTTGTATTTCATTTTATTATCATTTAATAGGTTGTATTTTAAAAAAACGAAATATACCATAAGATGCAGCGTGAAAAACTCTACAATTCGTAAAGGACGGCTTATTTTATAGTTGCTCTTTTCATTGTCAAAATGGATGAAATTCTGAGC